TAAATACTTGTTCGGTTTATTTGAAAATATTGTTCGGTTAAATGTTTTTGTGTGCCCACTTAGCAATCGCATGATTAGTTACATCCGCATGCATATACTGGGACTTTTAAGTCTCATTCCCCGTAGTTAATATTTTTACAGGAGCGAGTCCGACCGACAAAGCACCAGAGGTGTAACTATGGTGTATGAGACACTATCTTTTACGTTGCCTCTTATTTTAGATTATACAATATATCTTGTACCAACTTAGGACATATCTTCTTTGTGAAGTATGTAAATTTTAATCCTTTTTATTAAAAGTATTTATATGACTAAGAGGATTATGTCTGTCCCTCTTGATTTATAATCTGATTTGAATATCATGCCATGAGGATTATATCTGTCCCTCATGGTTCTAATTGTTTTTTTGAGATATTTTAAGACCTGTGGTATATTATCTTGGATGTATCATGGTAGAAATTTTTCTACCATGATAAGGGTATGATAAGGGTTTAATGAAAAAAAATAATTTGTTGAATTAATAATTTGCGAAAAATTAATTTGTAAATTTGAGGGTGTTACAAACCAGGTTCAAATGCAAAAGTGATTCAAATGGTTGAACTAAGCCATTTTGTTAAGCAGTCAATGATCGAACTAGGCTGACGGTCTAGTCCGATCTAAATTTCAAAACATTACCCAATATATTTCATTATCGAGCCACAAGTATGGTTTAGTAAAGTAGGCTAAATCATAGGCTATAGCCTCCTTTTACCACTCAATTATAGGTATAGTAGTTTAAAGTCACGTACCATTATTATGTAGTAATAAAAAAGACAAAACATATCAATAGCAACAGTCTATCTTAGCTAGGATTATATATATGTATGTATGTATGTATGTATGTAATTAATAGTCAACAACACATTTATCTATTACCTCAATTTATATCATATGAGTTTGCAATTAAGAATATAAAATAAATAAAACCCCTAATTACCTTTACCCTTCAAGTTAGAAAGGGGAAATTCAATTAAAGCTGAAGCCAATCTCTCAGAACAATAACAACCACCACCCATAAATACCCAATGGTACCAGACTTAGCCTTAACTTTGTTAAGATGGTAGAGATTGGAGATTTGAGTCTAGGGAGGTTCCAAAAGACCCCCATGAGGGTGGGGTAAGGAATAACCTAAGTACCACCTTGGGAAAAGCTGGCTTAGGTTTTGTGAGGAGTGCCTTTTATGTAACAATTCTCACCCCATCCCACTAGAGGTCATTTGGACTAGGCTCCAATACTCATCACAGAACCCAAGATAGCTTTGTCTAAGGTGGTACTTAGGTTATTCCTCACTCCACCCTCACAGAAGTCTTTTGAAACCTCTCCAGACAAACTCAATAGTACCAGACTTAGCCTCAATTTTCTTAAGATGGTAGAGGTTAGAGGTTCTAGTCTAGGAAGACTCCAAATGACCTCTTTGGTGGGGTAAGAAATAACCCAAGTATCATATTGAAAAAAGTTGGGCCCACTGTTTAAGTAGTTAAGGCTCCAGTCTAAAATATCCTCTATGGGGTGGGGTGAAGGCTATTATACCTCCTCTTTCGCAACTCAATACCCAAAATTTGAAAATTCTTACTTTTTGATCTAATTTTTAAAATTTAAAATGTTGATTTTGCCTTTTGTCTGCTCACAGTGACGTGCTTTAGAAATTCATCCACTCGCTGTCAAGCTCTATGTTTTAACCAATTAACATGAGGCTAGCATTTACACATGATTATCTCCTTTGATTATCTCGTCTGCTAGCAGTCAAGGATAGAGGCTTCAGAAGTCTAAAAAAATTACCCTATTTTTACCCAAAAGTAGGAAAAATTTTCCTTAACTCACTAGTTATATGAGCTCATAATATTTGGGATGTTACATTGAAACTCACTTATCCAAACCCCCTATTCTGTCAACATTCATGAGTAGACAACTTCATTGAAGAACTTCTCCACAAGCAGAGATTGACAGAGAGCATAGCTCTTTCTAGTAGGGTTCGTTCACAAGCATTGACACCAAATTGTGTCATGACTATAGGTGGATATGAGCAAAAACTCCAATTTTCCTTTAATTCCATTTTAAATCCCAAAACTAACCTCATATTACCCTTAATAATCCTTACTTATTTCCTAACCTTAATTTGAAATTCTAGGATGTTATACAAATGACAAGTGAGTGTATTGCTCTTACAAGCAGGCATATAGAAAATGATAAATAGTCATAATGTTTTAACAAGAACAAATGTAAAAAATAACAAGTGTAATATTCTAATAAACATGGTGGTAGAAAATAATAAGTATATTTCATCTTTTTTATTCAATATTTTTGTCAGATGTCACGTTAAAGGCTTCAAAGTAATTTTAGAATGTTTTGATCCTTTTTGATAAATAAGTGTCTTCAACAGTCTTTCAATGTGATTTTCTCTTACTAGAATTAATCTTGGAAATACCGCATTGAAGGATCGCTTTAACATATTAAGTGCAAAAAAAGACTAAAGCATTATGAATTTACTTTGAAATTCCTAATATCACATATGATAATAACATTGAAAGTAAAAAGACAAAAATAGCCGTGCCCATCATCTTACCATCTTGTTATTTCCAACACTTGTGTTTAATAAATTATTATCATTACTTGTCATATTTTACATGTATGCTTATCAAAACAACACCTTCAATCGTTACTTTTTACTACCATGCTGATTAGAACATGACACTTATTATTTTTCATGCTCTGCTTATGAAAACATTATGATTTGTTATCTTTCATATACATGTTTGCAAAAATAATACTCTCACTCATTATCTTCCACCACCATGCTTGTTAAAATATTATTATTTTTCACACTCATTAAGACATTATGGTTATTTATTATTTTTATATGCATGTTTATTAAAACAATGCAGTTGTCATTTTTTAATATTATACTTCTTAGAACATTGCACTTGGCCTTTCCTACATTGCTTGTCATTTTCTATAAACTTGCTCATCAAGACAATATTTCTACAAGCTAAAATTCAAAAAGATTATTTTTCATCTTTTTTCATTCAATCTTATTTAGAGCTAGTAATTTGGCAAACAAGTCAACCCAAATCCGCTCAAAAGATTTATTGCCAAACTAAAAAAATTAATTTTTTAATATTCAAGCCTATTTGGGCTGGCTCAAAAAAATTCAAGCCAAGCTCAATTATAACCGTATGAAAAAATAATTTTTTAAAAAATATATAAAATATAATAAAGATTAATTAATTTTTTAAATTTTATGTCATTTTATATTAAAATACTATATATTTGAGTATATTAATATAGTTATTTTTTAAAAAATATTTATATTTTCATATATTTATTATTTTTAATCAATAAAATATTTTAAAATAATATTTAAAATATATTTTAATATTAATTTTTATATTTTAAGAACCAATTTTTTTTAAAAAAATTTTGAGTCTTCTACATCATTTTCGTGTTTAAAAAATATATTTTATATTTTTTATAAAATAAAAAATTAATTTCAAATTAAAAATAGAAATCAAATATGTACAAATTCCTAACTCTACTACTTGATAAACATAATAAATAGAATAATATTTTTAAATAATTATTTAGTTATCATCTACATCAGGCTTAGTTAAAAATTAAGAATAAACTAGAATAAAAACTCCTTATATGTAAGGGTTAAACAATATTAAAATTTTAAAAAATATCATTCTACTCATAATTAAATGATTTCATTTTATATAATATTTTATTTATTTTATATATTTAAATGATTTTATTTTATTTTATTTTATTTTATATAATACAATAATGTCTATTTTTCTCATTTTCTTAAAAACAAAAAATATAGTTTACCCAAAATTATACTCTCTCCATTCAAAAATATAAGATATTTTTTAAAAAGTTGGATGTTAAAAAATGTAAAACATTTTTAATCTTTAAAGATGTAATCATTATTTTTTTAAAAAAATGACCCTATTAATAGTGACTTTATATTTATTTTAAGATGTTTAATAAGAATAAATATAAAAAAATAGAATTAATTTAAAAGTAAATAACTACTTTATTGAGAAGTGTGATTAAATTAAAAATGCCTTAAATTTTTTAAGAAGAGAGAGAAAAATTTGAACTAATCAGAAACAATCATTTTAAATTAATCATCTAATTATGATTGAATTGAGATCAATTTGATTAATTTAATTAAAATATATAAAAAAACTTATATTACCATAATAAGAGTAATATTTAAATAACTAAAACATTAATTTATAAATAAATAAAATTTTCATAAATAAATTACACATAATACAACAAAACTTCTTGAATCTAAAATTAATAAGTTATTATTTTTTATTTTATTCTTTTAAAGTAAAAATAATATTTTATGTTTGACTAAATTATTCAAAAATTAAAATTAATTTAAAAAATAAAGAAAAATATTTTTAACAAGTTTCAAGTTTTCAGGCAAATCCGAATAAGTCCGAAAGTGTTAGGATCAAGTTTGATTATATAAATTTTTAAAAAGATTAAGATACTTCAAATCCGATTCAAATAAATTCAACTCGAACGCAAACCGAATAAACCCACTTCGCCAGAATTACAACCCTAAATCTTATTATCAGATTCGACGTCAAGAATTTTGAGAGTATATTCAGAATGCTTCGATCCTTTTTCATGATGAATAATGTCTTTCAATAGTCCTTCAATGTGATTTTCCTTTAAAGGGTTTCCAAACTTGTTCCTCTCCAACTTTCCAGAGTAAATGCCGTAAGCATAACCTAACCTAATCTAACCATTATCCCAGCAAATGAAATAAAGTATGCTGATTCTAATTCGATTAGATCCAATGTAAAACCGGAGACACAATAAACTACATGGAAATGTCACAAAAAACCCCATGACTTCTGGATGGCAAACGTCGACGTGAAGAAAAATGAGAAGCAGCAATTCGAGACACACCCAGAATTATCAATAAGGAGAAGCAAAGATGAAAAAAGCCACAATTTATTTACATTAAAAATGTGAATCTCCCCAAATACCAGAACCTGAATCTCTAACTCATCAATAACTACAAACACCAAAGTAAAGTGAAATATGCTTTGAAGCTTCAAAGAAAGCCTCATTCAGATTGAAAGAACAAACACCCGAATCAATCATTACAATGCAACATATTAGGAAAATGGAAGGGTACTTTGGGTATTATCCTTCCCTTTCCTTTGACATCTTCCACTCTCCTCCCATGGATAGAAGGCAGGAAACAAGTCTTCAATGTGAGTGGAGATGAAAAAGAGCCGAGCTTTCCTATCCTTTGTTCAAAAATCAGCAAACCAAACCGCTCCAGAATTGAATGCACATGTTAGTTTTTGTAGCCTCTATTACAGGAGATTTATAGAAACACTTGAACCCCTTAAAATCATTGAGTTAAAAATTTATTATCCCAAAAGTCAACAAAAAAAAAAAAAAAACTTATAGTTTTCAAACTTGGTGTTCAAATACAAATTCATTTATAAACCAGAACATCTGGTTATGGTGCTTCGGAAGGGAAATTTAGATACAATGTTACAAGTCATAAGCCACATTACATTTCGTGGTCCTTCTCCAAAAAATGCTTATTAATCAAACTTAAATATAGAAGTAGAGCATATGTTGAAGATTCGAAAAAAACCAACAAACTAATAAATATAGAGGTATTATTATGCATATATATGACTCTACTTACACGTATGAATAATGATTAAGCGACTGCTAAATTCAAATATGTCAATACTCACATTTTGCAAAGGATCAACATACAATGTCCAATTCTTTATATGTAGATGAAGAGGACAGCTATGATGACTTCTTCAACTGTGGTTCTTCCTTGCTCGTGATACTAAAATTTTATCATACCTTATTATCCTATTGGGTGTGGCAAACAGACCCTAAGCATCTAGGTCTGGACCTGGATATGCCGGTAGGCTCATAATACGCTTGTCTAGCACAGGACCACCAACCGTAAAATGATACAGACTCTGAAAGTTTGACCCTTTCAACCCAAGCAACTGATGCACTGCACCCAATAAAAATTCAGACTTTTCAGGATTATACAATAAAGCAACGAGAAGAATTTATCTTTAAAAAAAAAAAAAAAACCATCTATAAAACTTCGTAGAGCAAGCTTATTAAGAACAAACATATAAGTATGACAACGCACTTTTTAGTAAACAGATCTATTTTTGACTTGATTACAAGTTCAGATTTAACATGCGCATATTAACTAGTAGTTTCTCTCTCCAGAATATGAAATGTGCATATTCATTATCAACATAAACATCAAGGTTCATTAAGCTTCAAGGATAGATTTTGTCCAATCATAGTTCATGTGATGTCCATAATCCGACAGCTTCCTAACCTTCGCATTAGCACTGAATACTAATACATGGTTCAACCATGATGGCTGTTTCAGATGAAATACAGTTTCAAAGGATACAAAACTTAGAGTCTTATCTATATCGTCTATTGACAAGCAGGAGCCTTTCTACTGTACTCTAGTATATTCCAACTATTTTGCCTCATGGTTGAGCATACTAGGAGTACCAAACTGAATAACAAGAAATCTCAAACCAATCCATCCTCAATAATAATAATAATATTGTCCCTCTTTCCACTCTACCTCTCAGCAAATCTTTTGTGATGTATTCTTCATTTGCAACTTTCTGTTGCTCAATTCTTTTATATATGAAGGAACAAGAAGCACTGAGAATGTTGAAAAACTCAAAGGATCCTAGAATCTAGTAATTTCTTCTGAAAACTACTGTAGATAACATGCAGCTCATACAAAAACTGACTGGTGCTGACCACATTAAGGTAGGAAAATAGAATTCTATTTCAGAGAAACTAGTTACAGTATCTATAAAACTTCATTACTCTAATAACTGCAAATGGAGGATCTCAAATAAAAGACAGATAACAATCATAAGCTACCCTTTACAGCCTTCCTACACCAATTTATATAAATAAACATCTGATGCATAAGACTCACCAGCAGAGAAATAAGCATAATTGACACCCCATAAACATATTCTGAAGCAACTACATCCTAAGTGGGCTCATGCTCTACTCTGAATGGTAGCTAAGCAGTAACCACCCCTTAAATGACCAAGTCAGGCTTCTCCCAACTTTTCCCATCATTTTGGCTCAATCCAGCCCATATTTTCCTTCTGATATGAGTGATAATGGGTGCTGTTCAGAAGCCCAAGGGGTATGTTATCAAAAACACCTTGCCTTTGTTTCCAATAAGTGTCAAAAAGATGGAAGAAGTGTTTGATTCTGGAGCTGATCGCCTTGATTTATGAATGTGATTAACAGTGAAGTCTTTCTTCAATAAGAGACAGAAAACATTGTGTAGCTTTCAGTGAAATGAGTAAGCAAACAGATATTGGCAGCATTCTTTGAGGTACAACGTGATTGATTAACTGCTATGGTTCAATCATATGAAGCTTAGAATAAATCAATACTTGAAGTTGAATATCAGGGCAATAATGAACTTTCCACATCGAACATATTTTGTTCTGCTGTAACCTAGAATGAATAACTAGAAGTGATGTTTTTTATTGGTTACCAGGAGGGAAGAGAAAATATTTTAAATGGACTGTCCAGGGGTTGTAACACCACCAAAATTTTTATTAGAGATGAAGATTAAATTTCTCACTATCTGTATGATCCTCAAATTAAAATTAGAGAAGAATTACGAACATGACATTTTAATGAGTAAACCATAACACTTCTCTGCAACATGAAGCATGGATGTATTATGCAAATTATATTTACAACGAATAAATTGATGCAACATATGAAACACCGCCATACTGAGAGTTTCAAAGAAATGGCAAGGAAATGTGTCATACCAGGGTCATCAAAGAAGCAACCAATCCCAGTTGCTGAGATTCCAACAGCATGTGCTTCAAGATACAACAACTGTCCCAGGGCCCCAGTCTCCCAAAATAAACAAGGATACATCCACACATTCGTCTCACGCAAAGTGGGCTCAAAACGAGCTAACATACCAAGGCTGAAGCAACCATCACTAGCAATATCCTGCAAGTAAGAAGACACATTTATCAGGAAATAGAGATGCAAAAAGTTAAGGTTCTGGTTAGAAGTAATAAACTCATTCATTTGAGATATTAATTATAGACAAAGAGTAAACAGAAAATCCCAACTAATTAATATCCCAGAAATTCAGCAACTCCAAGTACAATAATAAAACAAGAGATGTTCAAATATTAAGCTGTTAGTATTCAGAAAAATCGACAAAAGCTTATTCACACAATAGTTACAAAAGGTACCAGATGGATGTTATGCCTGAAATAATTAGGCAGATTAGCACCAATTGCAGTGAAGTATTTCGTTAAGCCACTACACCTTACTGTGAAGAATACAGTCACTTTTTTAAATATTAATTAAAGTAAAAATCCAATTTTGAACACTTCTCCATTAAAGGAACCAAAAATCCCAGAAGAAAGGGAGACTATTCTTATGTCTCTATGCAACAAAACAACCACAAATAAGTATTCACCTGATGACATGAAAGCTGCTTAGCAAGCTGCTGACAATTGTATCTATAGAGTTCATATAAAGGTAGATCATCAGGGCAGCCCTCTGGTTTGGCCCATACAAAGTCAGGGCTCATAGATTTCTTGAGCTCGTCAAAATGATTTTCATTCCTCACCAAAAAATACAAGCCCCGTGGTAAACCAATCACCCTATGGACAAATAGAGCAGCGTGCACCTCAGCATCCCATGGAAAAGCCCGGAACGGCAATGCCTGTTGCCTCTTTTGTCTCTCTCCAGTTTGACAACCTGAAGGAAGACAATGTGATAGAATCTGATAAAATGTATCTCTCGACATTTCAGTAACTCCATCCATATCCACTGCACTTCTACGTGTCCTAACAACTTTCCTCAATGTATAACCCTTGTATGAGGATTCACTGTAAAGACCACTTTTTTGAAATGGATTTATAAAGAATCCTAGTCCCAATGTCAAAGGCTTCTTCACAATCTCAGCAGTCCTATAGATAATATCCCAACATATATGCTCTTTGCTAAGAGAATTTGGCTTTCCTTTCCACTCCAATTTCGAAAATTCAGATAAAGCAGAACTTAATTTTTTACAATCCACATCAAAATCACCAACTCCGTTGGGATAAACTAGTAAAACACAATCCGGATGCTCAAATTCAATCTCCGGAATTCTTCCTTTTACAGGTCTGGATGGAATTTCAAATTCAGGGAAAATTTGAAGCCCCATAAGATTCTTCAAATCTTCAAATCCCAATCCGTCTATAAGCTTCACATCCCAACCAAGCCCCGCAGCAGCCATTGCAACCGCAGCAATAGCATGACCTATGTCATGATTACAATACCTAAACGCTCGCTCACCGTATTTCCATGCCTCACGCCAGAAAATAGATGACAACCCAACAAGAAACGAATTCCGGGGGAAAAACTTTTCAAAGAATTCTGATGGTATTTCGGCTCTAACCTCCAAACCATGCTCCTTTGGGGCATAATGAGCAACAAAAGGTGAGTCAGAGAGAGATTCTATGGGAGGGGCAATAATGTAAGCTTCCGTTGGGTGCAAATTACCACTACTTGGGTTAACCCGGAGAGACCAAGTGCTGAATCCCGTGGTTTTCCAAGCAGAAAGAGCGAGAGAGTCATAGAAGAACTGAGAAATGGTGGATTTGGATAGGGGTTTTGCAGGAGGAAGAGAAAGGAACACAGAGGAGTACAACGGAGGTTCAGTTGGCAACGAAGGGTAGTGTAAAAGAGGAAGGAGAGGAGAAGACACATACCTGCGAAATGGGTTAGGTTGGTTGGCCCAATCGAGGCCGTGAGGGCCTCTGGCGTACTTGTTGAAGGAGTGCTTGGTCTGGTTGTGGTATTTGAGGACCTGCGAGAGTTTGTGTTCCTCCAAGTCTTGTTCTTCTCTAGGGTTGGCTTTGGAAGGGTAAGTTGAAAAAGAAGAAGCAGCCGGAGAAGAAGAGAATGACATGATGGGTATTAAAGCTTTTGGGTTTGGAATCACGACGGAGGTTGCAGGAAGAAAATGGAACAGCGGAGGATTCGACGACAAGAAGAGCCTAGAAGGGAGAGGCAGCATTTTCAACTACTCCTTGCGCCCTCACGCTTCTAAAATATTCCATCAGCATTTATAACTACTTGTGTTCGTTTTTGGAAGAATTGCTTACCCGACAATTATATTCAATTTTAATATATTCAGCAAATTTGTTATTTTATATAAATTTAAATTTAGATTTAAAAAATTATTTTATTTAAAATTTGTTCCTGCATCATCCAAGAGAAAATGAAACACGTATTATAAATGAACTATATAATATGATTTAAAGGGAAAAATTTACACACTTTGCTTTCATTTAGTTGTTAAAAATGATAAGAATAGAATGGATTAAAAAAATTAAAAAAAATAATTAAATTACCATTTCCTCTTATTTTTAGCAAAATAAAACTCAATATTATATATTATAAATGTAAGAATTATCATACTCTCAAAAATATTATGAATTATGACTCTCAACACCAGAAACTAAATTATCATTTTTCTTTAGGAATATAATTCAGTTATCCCTCTCCACATTTTGATCATTTTATTTTTACTTTTATTTTTTCAATTCATTTAATTTTCTTTTTTTCAAGCAACCAAACCGAATCTTAGTCTTATATATTGATTATGTTTGTTTCTAATTAAATCAAAATATGTAAATCCTTATGTATTATTTATTTTATAATAAATTATTATTATTAATATTATTAATACTTTAAAATTCACTTATCATGATTTGATTGGACAAAAGCATATTAAATATATGAAGCTAAATATATAAGTCTTGCCCTAATTTATATTATAATAGTATTTATCAATCACAATTATAGTCAAAAGTAAAAATTATGAGTATATGAAATAATGATTCAAACCATTTCTAATGTGCAGAAGAAGTTGAAATTATGCAATGAAGAGGCAGGGAAAGATGTCCATGAGAAGTTTCCCAATATGTCATGAGAAGTTGGAATTGCCGTGGCTTAAGAAAGGCCATGACAATTCAAAGATTGAACTTCTCAGCTTGAACTTTTTTTTTTTCCTTTGGAAAGAAACTAAGATTGATCTTTCTATTACTTCTCATACTTTTAAATTTTTCTTTTTTGTGTTAGGACGGATGCTATTAAGAAAACTTCTGAACTTTTGAATCAATTATTTTGGAATGCACTTATCGATGCTACCCTGCTATTTCAGCAATGTTGATCCTTTTTTTTTTCTCGCTAACAAGCAATGTTGATCTTGGTTCATCTATTACAAGTGTGCTTGGATTTCAATTGCATATAATTGATTATTAAAAAAATTCATTAATATAATTAATTTGAAATATATTGATTATATTATGTGATATATAATTGATTTATAAAATTAATTCATAAGATTGATTTTAATCAAAATTGAAAAGCAAAATTAAAAATAAAGTAAGATCATGATTTTGTAAAATATATCTAAACAGCCATTACAACATTCATTTTATTTATTGGCCAAACAAAGCACAAGACAACTTGGAAAGGCTTCGAAATGACTAACCAATGGCTTTTGATTGGAGATTTTAACCAAATATTGCATTGCAATTAAGGCTGTTTAAGTGGAAGTCGGGTTTCAAGCTAGGGCCCTGTCCGACCCAAATATATTTATTTATTTATTTTTATTGAAAAAATAATTGTTTCATAGTATCATATATCCTAAAATATTTCATGCAACATCATATATATTTTCATGATCAACATTGAAATTTTTTATGATTTTAGTTTTTTAATCATTTTCAAAAACTTAAAGTAATATTTTAACTTAGTAATATATAAAAAAAGTAGATAATTTTTAACTATGTATAATTTTAAAAATTATTACTTTTCATCGTAATGTTAGTCTTATATAAAATGTATCTTAAATTGCGATAATTATTTTTCTTGATAAATAAAAGCTTTTCTAAAATATTTTTAAAAATGTTTTTCAAGTTGGGCAAAACTCAGCCTACATTAAGGCATTGAGATGAGCAACAGGCTGGATGATGCCTAACCCGACTCTGCCCCCATGTGCACCTTAATTAATCCAAAATGATAAGAGCAATATGGGTCAATACTCTAGTTCTAATGTTCTATACATTCTTTCAAAGAATGCTTAAACTTGGCAAAGTTGGAAAAGAAGTGGTCTCACTAAAGAAAAGCTTGATTGAGCCTTCTACAACACAGAGTAGTTGCAAATTATTCCAGAACCGAACGTGCTTAAGTTAACAAGTGTTGGTTCTCTTCATAGTCCTATTATCTTTTCAACAAGTCTAGAAGTGCAACATTCTCTGAAAATGAGAATATATGAGAATTATTAAAGTGGTTTAATATTAGTGATTGTTCAAATAGCATCACACAATGTTGGTGGAAAGTTTATAGGGTTCTTCAAGCTTTAGACTCCATAATAAACTCTCTAGTGTTCTATATAATTTGTTCATAGGGAGGAAATGAAAACCTAGAAATTGATAGGGGACGCGGAAGCAAAATTGTGCTAGTTTAAGGACAGAACCCTGAAACACAATAAAAATACAAGAACAAAAAGAAAGGGACGGAATTTATGACGGAAATAAAGAAAGATATGAGGTAAACAATAAGATAATAATCAAGGAGAAGATTCTCTAGAGCACCTGTCTTTAGGAACCTCAACCTTCGAAGACACCACAAAAGTTGATCACACTCTTAATCACGTCTGTTTCTTACACGGGATGCCACCACAAAGCACTAAGGCTCTCAAGAGTTATAAACTCTAAAAAATGAATAATTTCATTCAACTTCTATTTCGTTTACAAGAGAGAACATGTCTAATTTATATAGGCTCATAGAAAAGAATATTTCCTAAAATTAAAACCTTAATTTCCTAATACTAAAAGGAAAAATAATATAAAATAATGATAAAATATTCAACCACATAATTTAGGAGATGTGATCCTAAAATTATGGGATTACAAAATTTAAAAATTAATACTATAATTAATTCTGATTTGACTAGACTCAAAATAGGAAATCAAATCAAAGGACCATTAAAATGGGAAATAATTTAGGAGATAATCAAGGGATTATAAAGGATTTAAAATCACGCCACCCTTGACTTCTTCACTAGGATTTCATGCCTCCTTGCTTGCAAGAGGCTCAACTTGTAGTCTTCCTTACATTGGGCTAAGGTCTGCATCTCTTGGACTCTTTATGAGTTTGGATCTTAAGTACATTATACACATATAGATGCTCTCCTTTAGGCTTGAGAGGAGTGCCCCAATACTTTTCAAACTCTTGAACTTCTTGCACAAGACTGAACAAGGCTTGCTTCATGACTTTAGTTCGGGCTCTTGTCATTGGACCTCCAATATATTATAATGGATCTTTAGGTACGTTGGATTAGAAGTATTGGGCTCCTTCTATGTCACCATACTCATAATTACCATCCTCAAGCTTCATTGCCATTAATGCTATGTCATCCGTGCCATGGGGTCCATCATTCCCTCCTAATTGGAAAGGATTCATCCTCGAATTTGCAGAATCATATAAAGATAAATCAAAAACATTAAATGTGGCACTAACATTGCTATCAGAACTAGGCAAATCAATCTTGTAAGCATTATCATTAATTCTTTCCAAAAACTTGGAAAGGTCCATCTCCTCGAGCTTGAAGTTTGGACTTCCTTTGATTAGGAAATCTCTCTTTCCTTAAATATAACCAAACCCAATCTCTGGGATCAAAGATCACAAATCTCCTACCTTTATTAGCTTGCTTGGCATATTGCTCATTCTTTCGCTCTATGTTTGCTTTAACCTTAGCATGTAAGTCCTGCACAAACTTAGCTTTAAGATGATTCATATGATCAGTCAAAGATTTACTATAAATAAGAATATTATCAAAGTAAACCACAACAAACTTACCTATAAACCTTTTAAAAACATGATTCAATAATGCCATAAAAGTACTAGAAGCATTAGTCAAACCAAAAGGCATAACTAACCATTCATATAATCTAAATTTAGTTTTAAAGGCAGTTTTCTATTCATCACCCTCTTTCATATGAATTTGATGATAACTACTTCTAACATCAATTTTAGAAAAGATAGAAGTACCATGCAATTCATCAAACATATCATTAAGTCTAGGGATAGGGTAACGATACTTTACAGTGATTTTGTTGATTGCTCTACAATCAACACACATCCTCCAAGATCCATCTTTTTTTGGCACCAAGATAACAGGGACAGCACAAGAGCTAAGGCTCACACGCACAAAGCCTTTCATCATCAATTCTTCTACTTGGCGCTGGATCTCCTTAGTCTCTTCAAGGTTAGCCCTATGTAACATCCTAAAAATTTTAAGACTCAAATTTATTAAAAAAATAAATAAAAATAAAATAAAATATCTATAATTAAATTAAAATTTAGAATAATTTAATAGAGGCCCAGAGTTTGAATTTTACTAAGCAAAAGTTTGGTTTTATTTGATTTTTAACTATGGGAAAAATTACCAAAGTTGACCCGGGCTTTTGTGCAATAATAAAAAATGTTGGGCCCTTTCTTGTAATTTTCCCCAAACTTTTTGACCAGCAATTTAAAGGCCAAAATTGATGCAGAAATGCAGAGAAAATGAGAAAGGAAAGAAACGCACAAACGGGAGAGAGAGAGAGAGAGGAAGAAGAGAAGAGTAAGGGAGGGAGTTAGGCTTGGATCTAGGAGTTTTGCGACCGTTGCAAGCTCGGCTACACGATAGGTAAACTCCCTACTTCAATCCTCTTCTCTTTCTCTTGATTTTCTTCAATTTTTAGAAGAGAAAATTTTTGGATTTTGATCCCAAAGGCTTTATTCTTGTAAGCTTTTGTTTCTTTGGATCCTAGGGAGCATGTTTTGAGTTTCTATATAGTGATCTAATATTTTGAGTGGATAATTGGATGAAAAGAGGTGTTTTGGGCACAAAATAAACCTTGAGAAATTGGGTTTTTGCTCTTCAATGGTTTAAGCTTATTGATTTAGTTATAATTTTGCTATTTGAGCCCAATAAGATTTAAATTAAGGTTTGGTTTTCATTATAAGGGCTAATGGTAAAAGTTGGTGACACTAA